GATGCCATTTTGTACCTTAGATTTTTTTTTTTTTGCAAGAAGTATTTTTCTTACATGAGTATAAAATAACCAAACAGGCAGTAATGCTGTGGTGACGATGACAAGTAAATGAGCTAGAACCTGCTTCTTTACTCTGGCGGGCTGCGCCTTTGCTTTCAGCCTCCTGCAGGGAGCTCTGCGACTTCCCTGTTTTCAGAGGCTGCTTCAGCCATTACCACCTCTGACTCTGTGAGATCCCTCGGGGCGGGGGGCAGCACCGTCTCCTGTCCCCGCTTGGTGGGCACAGTCTGCGGCCACGCAGGTTGGGCGGCCATCGGGTGCCAGCAGGAGAGGGAGGTGGGAGCAGCCCAGCCACCTGGGGGCCGTGGCTTGTCCTGGGCCTCCCTCCTTCTCCCCTGCCTGCCCCCACGCCTGCCCTGTGGATAAAGCCTCTCCCAAAGGCAAGATGCCGACGCCTGGCCTGAGCAGGGGAAGACCCAGCACAGCGAGAGCCCAGACCGCAGTGTGCCTGGGAGGAACGAGAGGAGCCTTTTCCATGTTGGGTTTTACAGCGGGCCAGCAGTGTACTGGTAATTGTTGTCTGTCAAAGACACAAACTCAGCAACCACACACGCAGCCGTCTTCTGCAGCGTGACCTGGCCGCCTTCCAGCCTCTTTTCCCTCTGTGGGTGCAGATGACACCATTAGTTCTGCATCGGGGGCCTCTACTTAGATGGTTCCCTCCCCAGGAAAGCCAGTGTTCCACCCTCAAAAGCAGGATTCATTTCAATGCCACCACCTCCAAGAAGCCTTTGTAAATCTTCATTCTTGGTTCTTGTCCACTGAAAATGTTCATTAATCATGGTTGGCGTTTGCCTCTCTTACGGCAATGAACATTTTCTTTCCTGTGTTGCAGTCTTACCTGGGACACATTCCCTACTCTAGTCCCAGAATGAGCCTCGATCCTTGTCATACACTGAGCCCTGATCCTCCTCCCACACTGTGTCCTGACTGCAGTTACATACTGAGCTTTGACCCTGATCACACGCTGAGCCCTGATCCTCTTCCCACACTGACT